CATATAATCAATAAAAATGAGAACCCCTATGAGATTCAGCTACTTTGCCTGCCAGTTTTTATGGTATTATAGTATTATTTCTCTTGGTTTCAGATGTTTTCCCCCTTCAACTGCTACTAAGCCTGCACAAATGGGAAGAAGCCAAATGATTGCACTGAGGAAACAGTGAGACTGAATAGATACAAAATGCTGTCAAACACACTGAGCACACAGAAAAAATATGCCTTTAATTTCTTCTAGTTCTTGGCTATTACTTCTATCAGCAGTTGGGTGGATGGAAGGAAAATAAATCAGATGTGAAAATGATTGTCAAGATGACAATATCCCATTTAAAGAGATATTGACAAAATTTATAAGATGAAAAATGCACGAAGAAAACTGGAATCACAAAATAACCTCTGGAGCAACATACAGAATAGCTGCCAATTTCTGTGCCCTATCCCGGCCATTCAACTCCTGTAAACAGCGAGGTGTATGAGGCTCCTAGGTGGTTAACCCAGTCCTCTCCTCTAAAAGGAGAGACTGAGAATAAAAAAGGGCTTTCCAGTAACAGGCACCTCCCATGGAAAGTCTGACTCCCTCAAAAACGCCTGAATAAAGCCCGCTCCTCAGAGCATGGCTGAGCCCGCTGTTCCCTCCAGTGCAGCAGCAAACCTCTGCTCAGGGTGTCTTGCCATCATGCAGAGCAGAAGCCCCTACAAGGGAGTTATTCTTGCTTTGTGCTGAATTACCACCTGATCAGAAACACCTGCTTTCCTTTCTGATGCTCTGTTCAGGCACCTTGTGCATTCAAAGCATGAGACTGCAGCAGGGGGCAAGTAGCCGGGCTGCAATGCCATCAGCATGCTGCTGCCAAGTGCGTGACCTGAGGACTGCTGTTAGCTGCCGCCCCGAAGGCATGCGCGCAGGAGTTTTGCCATCATCTGCGCTGCCTTACGAGGATATTTGTCTTAACCCCTAGGTGTGCTCCTGCTCCTCCTCTCCAAGGAGGAAGGCACACAAGGTCTGGAAGAGTCCTTCCTCTTCGTGAACTGGTGTGAGCTTTCTGCCTGCAGGGATCCGACATGTGAAAAAGCAGCCTGATATTCTGTGGCCTGTATTATTAAATGGTGGGTTGCCCTCATCATGATCCTGGTTAAGTCAGTAAGTGTTTTGCCATCAGCTTCAGCAGAAGCATGTTCAAGCCCTAGATCTCAAGGATTTGATGACGGCGGGTCACCTAGAAAATGAACTGAAATTTATAAAGGGTGTTGTTGCTCTCATACCAAGAGACAAATAGAGTGGTAAAAACTGGGAGGATGGACAACACGTAACTGTTTGCACAAAACATTACTATGCAGATCGGCTAAACCTTGAATCTAATAACAAAGAATGTCCTTTGCAGAAATTGCATGGAAATGCATGATCTATCTGCATGTGATATTCTGCTTTGAATCTTTCTCATTGTCTCTTCCTTTTGATGGGCAGTGGTCACCTTTAAATCTTTTGGACTTCAATACAGTGAGTAATTATTGCTACCATAAATGCTGCAGTTATTAATTGCAAACTGTATCTCTTAAGATGTTAACTGTGACTATGATGCAGTTTTACTTTCCTTCAGTAAAATAAATCTATGAACTACTAGGGCTTTTCTCTATATATCACTAAATGCTCTGCTGTGGTTGTCTGACCGTAACAGACTTGTTACCCTATTTGTACTTTGGTAATGTACTGCTAAGAGGAATTAATAGCTTGCTAAGCAGAATTACTTTCTTGCTTCCTGAATACTTTGCTGGCATTCACACTGTCCTGTATGATTTTCAGGTTTTAATATCAATTTTCCAAGTGTATCTTCAAAGACAATTAAGTTATATAGCAGATATAATTCATATTGGACCAATGAATGCAAATCTTTCCTTGTTGCAGATATGAATATTTTATACTACACAATGAAAAACTAAAAGCAATTCAATTTGGTTTAGCTATGGGCTCTCTAGTCAAGGATGTGTGGTCTCCTACATACTCCACCCTTTTGCACTGACCTTGGGCAGCACTTGAAGTGCATAAAGAAAAAAAAAAAAAAGAAAAAAAAAGGTATTGCCCATGTTATTCAAAGCAAATGAGGCTGGCAGATCCTTCACCATACTGAACTCTTATCAGTGAACATAACTTCCTTTTAAACTGAGTGTAAAAAGCCACCTGATTTTCCTTACTATTCAAATATTTTACCAGGGTTTTACTTCTGATAGCAACTAGAGAACATAGAAATGTAGATCCCACATTTTTTCTTTTGTGTGCACACTTTAGCTACCTTAATATTCACATCACAAGAGGGTATTGGAGACATCTATCTGATCTCATTTATCCTATACTCATGAAACTTCAATGTACGTAAGTGCAGTTACTCTTGATTTTTTCCCTGATATATTCCAGCTCAAATTCCAGCCATTCTTCTAAAAAATGTAGAATTTAATTATTAACTATACAAACGTATTGCAATGATTAAGCTAAGAGCATAATATTAAGTGTATAAGAATGTAAATTCCAAGCACAGAGATCAGAAAGTTTTCAGAAAAATATGGCTAAGATTTCTAACATACAGGCAATATAAGACTGCTACAAATAATATCAAAAGGAATATTTATGGAGCATGACTAATATGATGTAATCTATATTACATAGTTTTGTGACTCCTGGATATACAATTTAAAAACTTATTAGATAAAGCAAAAGTGGAGCATTGTATGCTCTGTGCTATGGTCACTCCTCCTTCCCTATATTTGTTAAATTCAATTAGTATATGAAGGTACTGTTTTAAACATAATGGATGAAATACTTTTATTTATAGATCCTTCAGCATAATTATTACTGTAATTATGTTGATTTTCTTTCTTATTATTTGTAAATTATGTTATTATTTTTAAAAAGCTTCTGTCAAAATTTGCTCTCCTTCAATGGAAAATTATAAGGCAGGGGCAAAATTGATATAGAACTATTAACAACATTAAAAAAAAAAATTCATTGTAGGTGGACTATGAAAAGCAATGACTGCAGTATCATTTGTCCACACTTATCCTCTAAAAGATGCATGCTACAAATCACTTGCTATTTAAAATTTGATCAGCTAAGCTATGTAACAGTTGTATGACTGAATTATAGAGCATGCAATTTGGCCTCTACATTGAGTATATGCCACTTTCCTATAGCTTTTGCTTAACGTGCTTAAATGAAAGCTATGGAAATGTCTTCATTTTTCTAGATCACTTTAAGAGTCATTTACAGTGAAATAACTTCCATGAAATATATTAAGTAGACTTAGTTCTGCAATTTTTAGACAAAAATAGCCATCACTCTGTGGGTTACTTGTAAAAGCAAAGGACAATGCCTGGCGGTATGCTACTGTTTAATATGCTTATGAGCTGAGGTACTGTCACTTGCCTTCTAGCATTTTAAAATAGCATGTTTAATACAGACCTGGATGCCTGCAGTCACAAACTTTGCTAAACACGCAAATTTTATAAACCTAGTAAATATTATTTAATTGTTTTTATATTTCAGAACATACATACATTTTAAAATGTACTGCACTGGGCACTAAGTGATCACGTTGATCACTTGTTGCTAAATAAGGAGGAGTGTAGGCTGTCTGAAATGGCAGGAAAACATGACAGATATGGATTCATGAACAGCTTATGAGCAAATGCAAGAGCTGATATTAATGCATGTCTGCAAAATAATCGCATTGATAATACAGAAATCAAACCTTAAAATTTCTCAGTAGATATGAAAAACCTAAAGTAATAAAACTTGTGACTAGATGACAGTCAGCCCATATCTTTCTTCTTATTTCATACAGACCTCACTTTTTCCCCCTCTTTTGGCTATTTTCTGAATAAAGTTTTTAAAAGTGAACTATTTTACTTGACCATTGGAAACAGTCTATACTGGCAAATACAGGCTTTTTTTTTTTTTTTTTGATAGGCATATCGTAATTAGAAGGACTAATACCTGTGGAAAATAAAAACTACCATTGAAAAGTTTCAGACATGAGAGGGGGGAGAAAAAAAGAGAGAGAAAATCCAAATGTTTCAATCCATCTGAGCGCTGTTCACTTGCTACAAAGTTGCCCAGTTCTAAAGCCAGAACTGAATGAATCTCACTAAAGGAGACCTAGTAACCCAGTGATCCTCCAGACCTCCGCTCAACTGTACGTTTCTCTGAAAAATTCTTAGACTAAATCTTAACCCTTACTGTACAATTAAAAAGTTAGCTACTTGAAAGAGTGCATATTATGAGTGTGATGATAGCACTGTTTTAAAAGCTTATTAAAGAATATCTCTGTTTTCATAGCATTTTTGCTTGCAATGTTTCTGCAATGTAAAGCTACCACTGTGCAGCTACTAATTCTTTTTTCTGCTTTTATCTCATTTAGTGCACTTGCTGAGAGGTACTACCGAATATTCTTCTGCACGCTGCATTACAAAGAAAACTGTCTTTTTGTAAGACATTTTCTCCCCACTGCTTTCACTTAAAATAAAGGCTCTTGTAACTGTAGGTGGCTGACTGTACTCATTCTCAAATGAAAACTGAAGCCCTTCTACTTTATCCAAAGTGTAAATCTCCAAAAGATTCTTGCCTTTCAGATTGTGTTCACTGTAGTAAACGTTAATATTGAACTGAACTTATCTTATTTTAACATCACATGTTAAGTTCCAAATTTGTGTACATGGTATATTTTTGTTTTTGTTTATTGATATTAAAGAATATGACAAAATACTGGCAATATTATCAAAAATAATAGTGCAAGAGCATTTTACTTAAAGACAGTTCAAACCTATTGCTTTTATGGGGAGGAAAAAAAATATGGTGCAAAGTACTGGGGGGAGGGAGGGGAAGAGCATCTGTTGAAAATTAACTACTTTAACACATAATTAACACATAATTTTCTACCTGATGATATGGTGCTGTAGAAAGTACAAATTGAAGGCATGAGAGTAAGAAATGAGTCATCTTTGACTTACCGTATTAAAGACTATTGTTGTATTGCAGTCAGCATCCAAATACAGAGCATGAGGCTTCTCACAAATCAGAAAAAATGTACAATCAATGAACAAATCAAATTCATTGTAAAAATAAAGGCCAGAGATTAGAGTATGTATCCAAGGGTCTGGTTAGTCACAGCTTTGACTAGCCTGCTACAGAGCTCTGCAAAACAAGTATACTGCAGCAGTGTGGCAAGCATAGGATTGCAATGCATGTCCCATATATTCAAGCATAATAGAAAACATGGTCTGGAGCTTATTCCATGTGGAAGTGGGGTTTGTTTTGTGCAGGCAGGAAAAAAAAAGGATTTTTTTCTCACATAATAGAATTAGAAATGAAGATTTTTCTTGATTACTGTACACAATAATTCCCCAGGATATCAATTATATAAAGCAGGTGCCTCTGTCTCCTGTTTCCCAGATAAATGCCTGTAATCTCATTTCACAAATGATCCTATTTAGACAGGAGCCACCTATTGTGATGATATCATTTGCTCTAGTATCCATAAATGGGCAACTTCCTACTAAACGTCATGACCACTGACGACACAAATCTTTATAATATTGAGTGGGCAGGGTGGTTGATGAGGTCCCATCAATCTACAGCAGCTTCTGCTGATGTGATATCATGAATCCTGCATAATCATCTAAAAGGCTGAAAATGAAGAGAAATACTAAACCTAACTGGTGGAGCTCATTTAGGAAAAAAAAAAAAAAACATTTCTAGAGAGGTAGCAAAGACAAATAAGCCGTAACCACGTAGCAATGGCACCTTTTCAAATGCCTCGTGCACTCACAAGGATGCTCGTAGATAGGAACGAGATCACTCTCATTTAAGGAGTGTAGTTTTCAGTTTCTTTCTAACAAATACTAGATACTTTATATCCTCTTCTCTTGCAATTGCAAAATACACATTGACAGCAAAAAGACTGAACACTTTGAAGATGCACAAATTAGTCCACTCATATGGAATATTTTCAGAATTAGCAACTGCTTGCTACAATAGCTTGGAATACAAGCTTTGTAGCAAAATATCCTTACAGTTTGAAATCAGTGGGTTTGCTCCATGGTCTAATTGCACCTGAGTATTTCTCAGATCGGTGTTTTCTTAAAAAAAATCATTCCATTAGATATATATATTTGAGAAATCTTATGGTAGTCACCGCTAGCTGAAATCAGTTGCTGTCTCCTTCCTTTAACACACTGAGATCTGAGGAGAGCTAAAGAAGTGGTGATACAAGGTTCCCCTGCTTCCTCACTCTTTTCCCAAGGAGCTCCGTTTTCCTTTGTGGCTAAAATGAATTGATTGAGAATGTCATATTTAATATTTTTCTAGGCAGAAATTGGTTAAGAGTTTCAAAAGAAGGTCCTCAGTTTCAAAGAATGATAGAGGTCTGGGGGCGTTTTCCCATAGGATCTCCCAAAACCACGGTTAACATAGTCCTGCTTTGGACAGACTGAGCTGCATTTAAACAACTCCTTTTTAATAAATAAACAGAAAGGCATAACATTAGGATCCATCCACATTAGCATTTGAATAATGCTCACTAGAACTCTGGTCAAGCTGAGGTTTCGGGGTGGGAAACGTTAATGCTTAAAAACACAAAAACTGAAGTGACTTTACATATATTTCCACTTACGTAGTCCCATCACAGTACAGGCCACTTTGCAAAAAACAGCTCCTCCACTGTTGTATCATGTTGTATCTTCCTTTTAGTTCATAAAAAGGGACCACCCTTTACTAAATTTCTGTCTTACACATAAAGAGGATCCCAAAGACAAGTGGTGCAAATATTATTAACAACAGCAATAGGTCCCAGCCTCTTTCAGAGACTACTACTACCTCAGAGACTCGCATCACACCTAGATGGGATGAAAGTAGAATTCAAGCTTTCCTGTCACAGCATCCATGGCTCCAAGAGACAGCTATGCTGTCAAGGCAGAAAAGTCAGTGGATTTCCTAAAAACACCATAAAGAGAAGAACTCCTTCAACGGAGGCTGAAATCAACAGAGAAACACATTTCAGAGCACTGAATAGTTGTTTAGACGTGAGCAAGTGCTTTCCTTCCCCCTCTCTCCTGACTTTGCTCACCTTCAAGATAATGTTTGCTGACCTCTGTAGATTTGCTGTCTAGGCAATGACATAAATACAGGTTTGATTTTGGGGAGCGTATCCCTTTCACTTCAGTACTGGGTGAAAGTAGAAATTCATATACTCTGTGTGCCCAGATGGCATAAATATTTTCCATGTTTCCATGACAAAAGATAAAGACAATAAAAGAAACAGAAATTGGAAGCATGTGTGAGTGTAATAGTGATCCACGGTCTAGAAGTTTCTCTCTTGGCTAGATAAAAGATGATGAAGTGGGAATTAGGAAAGAAAGGGCAGAAAATAGCTAAAATTAATATTCATCACTGCTCCATCAAACTTAGGCTTGCCTTGGGAAAAGCCCAAATAATGTCAGATCTTCTTGGTAATGTAAGAAGACTTTTAAGGATGTTCCAGGACACAGTAGGAAAACACACTTTTTTAACACAGGATCTTTTTCAACACCTGAGCAAAAGGATGTCCCCACTCTGCGTTAACCTTTTGAGCCTACCACAGCACACAGCGAGGAGCTTAGAGCACACACAGCTTTCCCATGCAGAGGAGGATGGGAAAGTACCAAAAAAAAGATGAATTCTCATATGACATCCTTTTTCAGGAGCAGAGTAGGAGAACCATTGTGTGATGCTTCCTTTAAGGGTGATACAAAGGTCACCTCTTGTTTGTGCTTATTAACAAGGAACATGCAAACTATGACAAAGAAAAACCTTACAAGAACTTGCACCTCCACTCATTTCTACACCAAACAAACAGCAAAATTAAGCACATAGCTGTGCTTAAGCAAAGATTTTTATTTAAATCCCTCTGAAATTCATCACTATTCCTTTTCAGCAAGATCACAGAAAACTCCAAAGGGGATTTTCAGCCTCTTATGGCCAAATGCAATTTGGCATAATATAATAATGATGCTGAAGAACAATCTGCAAGTTTTTAATTACTTGTCAAAATCCTATTACTCCCAACAAAAAGCTAGATGTATCTATGGCCAATATCAGATCTAAATAGATTCTTAACAATAATAATCACAATAAATGATTATTTTACGGCCAAAATAATCAGGAAGAAAACTTTGTTCATAAGCTCTTCTGTATACCACCAATTGCAGTGCTGGTGTCACAAAGAAAACATGAATGTTCATTTTAATTTCACATTCCATTAGAAATACAGGTATAAAAAATATCTAGCAAATAGAAAGTGACAAGTTCTGATGGGAAAATATATTATTTTCATCTCCATATGAATATTAAAATAATGGAGAGCAGAAATATTAAAAATTTTAAGGGCACCTCACCTTGTTTTTCAAAGCCCTGTTAGGCCATTTTTGATTGACAGGGTCTACCATGGTTTGCATTTAGTGACCCTCCTAAAATACCACCATGGCTTAGGAGATTGGAAGGAATGGATAAAAAGTTGTCTAATGAGTTTCTCCATTTGAAACTAAGAACTGCAGTGCACATTACTAAGTCCCTGTATGTTCAGTGCAACTCCTCACTGCTTTGAAAGGGAGCTCCGTTGAAACATTTACGGCCCGAGAGGCTGTGCAAAATGCAGCTCAATATAAACCAGGACCAAATACCGTCTTCTGCCACAGACTTCCATACTACAGGATGCCTACTAGAAAGAGCCAAAGGTCAGCTGCTAAGAAGACTGCATCCTCATCTCCTACAAGTATAATTCTTTTAGAACTGGCATTCTCTATATATTATAACTAATATCTATATAGTTAGTCTACATATATAGTTAGTCTATATATAGAGAGACTATATACTTAGTCTATATATATATATAGACTACATATATACACACACATATAGTCTATATATTATAACTATTCTGACAAACATTATCATTAGCAGGCAGATAATTTATGGAGAGACAGTTTTCTCCGCTGCAGATCAAAGTTACAGAATGGTCCTAACAACGACCAGCACAGCTATGGTATGCTCATAAGCCTGTGCCATGTAAAAAGAGGGTTATTGCAGGTTAGGATGTCAGAAATTCTTTATATTCCTCTATTACTGCCAAGGTAGAAGATGCCACTGTGAGCAGGACTGGTCTGTGAGGCTGTCCCTCACTCATTTGGAAGCAGGATTTTAAAAATATACTTCTGGCTAGCCTGCAACGCAAGTGTTGAAGAATGGCAACAATAACAACGGAAAGAGAAAGACCATACTGAGGCCATATACCAATAATAACACAAGAAATAGACCACAAATACTTTCTATTAAAGATGATGAAACAGGTCAATTTTTCTATCTTACCAACAACTCCGGAGGGCTTAATTTAGAGGCTCTTAATAGCCTACCTTTTCTTTTCTCCTTTTCAGAGTTTCTCACCCTTTTCATTGCAGTAGTATTTTCAGAATGTACTCAAGAACTTGGTACCTCAAAGTGATTATTGGAAAAGAAAAATAAACAGTGAACACCTGCCTTCCCTGTGATGACTTGTAAGTTTATAGGCACTGAGAACTGTCTCCGCTTTGCAATTCTACATTTTAACAGGCTTTGTAACGAGGGCATTATTTTTATCAAACTTACAAATATCTTTCTCAGGTAACATTGCCTCAGAAAGCACTGGTCTGAGAATGTCAGCATTGCCAGTGGACTTTCTGAGCCTCTATTTTTTCAAATAAAAACAGGTGCAAGTGACTTGTGACAAATGACAGGCTCTTATCACCCTAACTTTCTGTTTTCTGATCTATGTCACATCACAAGCACAGCTCTTTCACCTGCACTCCGAAGTTTCTTTCTTTTTTCTGGAGGGGGAAAGGATGTCTAAGTTTGAATAGACTAAAAAGACAATGTTTTCCTATCTGTTTTAGGATTTTATGCACTCCTGATGTCCTGAAAGATGAACAGTAGACTTTATGACAAAATTAAAGAGGCTGTTATTAAGAAATTATTCTGGGAATGATGGAAAAAGTATAGAAAAGAGGAAAGATTTGAAGATGATGTAAGGATGATCACGTTCTGGCTAAATCTCACACCTAGGAATCTGTTCTCCCTTGACACAATGCAGAACCTAGTATTCCTTGAAGGGGACAGTTGCACTGTCCCTTTGTACACACGATCAATACCCCCCTTACACGCAGAGCATTTCAGAGAATAACAACAGGGCACGAGTGTAGGCTTACGACATGCTCCTGCCAGCTGTCTTCTCCAAAGCTGGAGTCTCCCTCTTCACGCTTGACTTTAGTGATCACAAACTATAATAATGAAATGT